TCACCAACTTGCACCATGCACAAGAATAAACTCAAAATGGATAAAAACTGAAATGCAAGTCACAAAACCCTAAAAATCCTAAGAGAAAACATATGCAGTAAACTCTTAGAAATCTCTTGGAATAATATTTTTGCCAATATGCCTTGCAGGGCAAAGGAAACAAACAAAAATAAGTACACAAATGGGACCACATCAAACTAAAAAGCTTTTGCACAGCCAAAGAAAACTGTCAACAAAATGAAAAAGAACCCATTGTATGAGATAACATATTTGCCAATGATACACCTGACAAGAAGTTAATTTCCAGGATATATAAAGAGCTTACAGAACTCAGCACCAAAAGACAAACAATCCAAAAAAAATGGGCCAAGGGCCTGAATAGACACTTCTTCAAAGAGGACAAACAGAAGGCCAATAAACACAAGGAAAAAATTCAACGTCACTAATCATCAGAGACAGGCAATTAAACCACAATGAGCTCTCAGCTCTCACCTGTCAGAATGGCCATCATCAGTAAATCGACACACAAGTGCTGCCAAGGAGGTGGAGAAAAGGGACCCTTACCAGGTGCACTGTTGGTGGGAATGCTGCCACTGTGGAAAACAGTATGGATTTTCCTCTAAAAATTAAAAATGGAATTGCCTTTCGATCCAGCGATCCCACTGCTAGGAACATATCCTAAGAATCCTAAGACACCAATTCGAAAGAATGTATGCACCTTTGTGTTCATAACAGTGTTATTACCATAGCCACAATCTGGAAACTGTCCAGATGCCCATCAGTTGATGAGTGGGAAAGAACAACAACTGTGGTACATTTACTCAATGAAATAGCAGGTGGCCATAAAAAAGAAATCTTACCATTTATGACTACAAGGATAGGCCTGGAGACTATTGTGCTAAGTGAAAAAAGCCAGTCAGAAAGAGACAAATACCATATAATCTCATTTATATGAGGAATCTAATAGACAAAATACACTGATGAACAAAATTGGAACAGAGGGATGGATACATGGAACAGACTGACAGTAGTCAGGGCTGTGTGGGGTGGACTAAATGAAAGAAGGTGAAGGAATTGGCCAGAGATTATACATGCATAACCCACAGACCCAGACAACACTGAGGTGGTGGCCAGAGGGAAGGGTGCATGGCGGGATGAGTGGAGGCAGGCAAAGTGGGGAGATGGGGGACTTTTGTAATTGTGTCAACAATGAAATAAGAAAATAAGACTAAAATATTCCTCAATTACAATTTTTAAAAAACACATGGATTGCATATACATTTGCAAACATTTTAAAATTTCTCAAAGGCATGATGTTGCATGAACACAGGCGACCCCAAAATCTCACATCCTGTATGATTCCATGTACATAACACAGTTGAAACTGTGGAGTGGAGAGCAGACTGGCATTTGAGGTTTTGGTACGGTGGGGATAGGGTCACTGTAAAGGCGAGCACAGGGGACCTCTGTGGTCATGGAATTACTCTGCACCCTGGTCATGCTGGTGGTGACACAAAATACACGGGAAGGACCAACATGAGCGAAATCCAGTAATGTAACAGGATTCAGTTAAACACCAACAGACACTGAGCACCAGTCATTCAGAACTGTGATCTGATGAGAGTAGGTGATGGGGGTAGAATGCACACACGTGCGACAGGAGGTCAGGAAGTCGCAGAACCTCCTATCCCCACCCTTCTTAGTGGGAGGTGCATAAGTAATGTGAGGTGGATGTCATGAAGCAATAGAAGCATACTATGTAGAGTATGGCAAAAAATTTTTTTAAACCAAAGGAATCAGCTAAAATAGTTGTAACTGTTTGCCTCTGAAAGTAGATGGTGGTAGGAGGTTAGAGAGACTCCAGTTTTCATATGCAGAACTTGCAGAATTATTTGACTCTTAAAATATGTGCATGTGTAATTTTGATAAATGTAGAAACCTATTCTAGGTAATTGATGTTGTAAGTTTTCCAAATAAAAAGAACATCCATACTGTCAGCACTAGTAAGGGTTTCATAAGCTTGGTAAGCATAAGAGAGATTATCAAAATCAGTCGCTATCCTAATCAGTAGTCAAAAACCACTGTAAACTGTAATCACAACTTTCAAAGTTTCCATGACCCAGCCCTGGTCAGGTGGCTTAGTTGGTTAGAGCATCACTTCATACACCAAAAAGTTGTAGGTTTGATCCCTGGTTAGGGCACATACCTCAATTTTGCGTTCAATCCCTGGCTGGGGTGTATAAGGCGGGCAACTGATGGATGTTTCTCTCACGCTGATGCCTTTCTCTCTCCTCTCTGTATTTTCTGTGTCTCTCTCAAATCAATGAACATACACTTGGGTGAGAATTAAAAACAAACAGAAAAAAAGATTACCTAATAGGTATAAAGATAGTTCTGGTTAGACATTCCTAAGATGATTATGGGGAAAAGTGTAAAATGTGCATTAAAATTCATTTAAAAATCTTAAAACTAAAATATCATGTCCATACATGGAAAAATTGAATATTGAAAAGATATCAATTTGCCTAAATTAATATATAAATTCACTGGGATCAATGGCAATTCTAATATGCTTTTTCATAAAACATCACAGTGATTCTAAAATGTTTTGGGGCCAAAAATAGCACCCCATTTTGAAGAACAGTAAAAGGTGGAAGATTTGCCCAAAAGAGAAATGAAAGCTGACTGTGAAGCTATCCTGACTAGGACAGGCTAGTTGTGTAAAAGAGACAGACACTCAATGGGGCAGAGAGCTCACACAGAGAGAAGCACGTATTTAAAAAAACCTGATGCATGGCAAAGGTGGCCATGTGGACCAGTGAGGGCTGGGTAATTTATCCTCGTGGGAGAAAAAGAGATCCCCACCAGCTATAACCCACACTCACACAATGCACACACACAACCAGGAAAATACAGCTAAATAAAGCAAATGAATAGAAAGAGCAAAATCTAATCAAAAGTTGAGAAAGTTATTGGTATAAGCAACAACCTCCTAATGATACCAATGTACTGCCTGCAGCCCCCCACCAGAGGAGAAAGATGGGCTCTCCTGTATGTGCCAGGGAAGCAAAGAGAAGATGTCTGTGCTAAAGACCGATTCCGTTTTCGGTCTTCATCAGTAGGAATCGTCCTGAGATCTGGTGTAAGTAGAACTGTACAGTAGTTGTCTGTTGTGTCTCCTAAACACAAATGACCATTATCAACTTTCACTATCATTTCATTACAAAACAAAACCTTTAATGCCAAAACATACAGAACAACCCTTTCAGCAAAATAGGTTTAGCTCTTTTTCCCCATTTTATTGAGACATAATTGACACATAGCTTTGCACGTTCGTTTTAGAGTACAGAAAATGATTTGATATATATTGTCATTATTGCAAAATGATTTTCACAATAGGTTTGTTAACATCTATCACTTCACAAAGTCAATTTTTTCTTAATATTGGCTCTTCAGCACTTTTCAAATGTGCACGCAGTGTTGTTCACTATGGTCGCTGTGTTGTACGTTGTGTCCTCAAATGTAGTTATCTTATCACTGGAAGTGTGTGCATTTGACCACTTTCACCTGTTCTCCCACACCCACACCCTGCCTCCGGAACCCCCAAACTCTCCTCTGTATCCATGAGTTTAGAAGTTCTTCATAAAGAAGTGTGTATTTATGAACCTCACAGGTTTAAACCTCAATCACTTGCAGAGTGCTCCCCACTTGATGCAATACACCTGTAGAGATGTTTTCCCATTGCTCAGTTTTTGAACTCGTGGATTCTGACGCCTTTCAGTGCTCCTGCCAGTTTTTGTTTCACCTCTTCCAGGTTGGCAAAACCTTTCCCTCTGAGGACTTTTTCCATCCAGAGAAACAAAAAAAAAAGTCACATGGGACAAGATGGGATGAATAGGGATGGTGAGGCGCCTGTTTTGGTCAAAAACTGCTGAACTCTCAGTGCTGAGTGGGCTTGTGTGTTGTCATGCTGGAGAATCCTGCTTGCCACAACCCAGGACATTTATTCCACAAATCAGGATGCAACTTTCTCCAACTTTCCAGATAAAAACTTTAATCGACACTCTGACCTGGAGGAACAAATTCGAAGTGCACAATGCCTCTCACGTGAAAGAAACAGATGGTAGTCGTTTACAAGTTTGACTTCACTTGTGCGTTTTGGGGTCCTGGGGAAGTGGCTGTTTCCCCTTGGCTACTTGCAGATTGCTGGTTGTCTTGGGGCTGCAACCATAGCACCAAGATTCACCACCTGCTATGGCTTTGGAAAAGAAATCAGGATCAGCCTCCAACCGCTCCTTCAAAGCACAGCATGTAGCAAAGCGATTGTCTCTCTGTTCAGGTGTGAGCAAGCTGAGGCATGAATTTGCTGAAACTTGTTTCATGCCCAAACCTTCAGATACAATCCACTGACAGGAAGTCCATGACACCCCATTCACCTCCACAAGTTCATCATCAGTAGTCCAGTGTTGGCCTTCCAAGATGGCTTGGTGAATTCTTACATTTTCTTTAGCCGGCTGGTCAAAGGATGCCAGGAAAGAGGTTGATTAACAACTGACATTTGCCTTGTTTAAAATGAGACAACCATTCGTAAACTTGTGTTTTACTCAGAGAGGCTCCCTTGTAAGCTGTCTGTGAAACAGCCATTTCTGTGACAATTTTCTGCCACTGGAAACAAAATTTTATTGCCTTGTTGTTCATGTAAATCACCCATCATGAAATGGTCAAACACATTGAACAGAACTTCAAAACCAAATTTACTAAAGTCAAATGCAGCCTCTTGCAACAATGCCAGCTGGTACACTGACCCATATAGGTTTCTAGTACATTCACCTACCTGTACTACAGGGACTTGCTCTCCAGAGCAAGTACTACAGGAGACACCTGTACTGCAGGAGACACCTGTACTGCAAGGGACTTGCTCTCCAGAAGGTTTTTCTGGGGTTTTTTTTTGGGGGGGGTCACCCCTCATATATGAAAATGTACAGTATTTATCTTTCTTTTGTCTGACTTATTACATTAGCATAATGCCTTTAAGTTCCATTTATGTTGTTGCAAAGGAAGTATTCCTTTCTGGTTTAAAATGAATAATATTCCATTAGACATAGGCATTCACCCACTGATGAAGACTTATGTTACTTCACTTCTATGTTGTAAGTAATGCTGCAATAAACATGGGAGTGGAGACATCTCTTCAAGATACTGATTTCACTTTTTGTTTGGATGTACACCCACAGGGCGGAATCACTGGGCCATACAGTAGTTCTATATGGAACTACCATACAGTTCCGTACTGTATGGCCCATTTTTAAAAAACCCTCTACACTGGCCGAGCCAAACCTCTGATTGGAAGACTTTCCCTGCCCAATCTATGAGTTTCCTGACTCTTTCCTCTTTGTCATCTCATCTGATGTTAATGCCTTCTATGCATTTTTTTCAGTCAGTGATTGTATTCTTCACCTCTGTGATTTCTATTGGGTGCTTTCTCATATTTTCTATCTGAATGTTGACATTATCACATTGTGCATCATTGTCCACCTGGGCAGGTGAGCATCTTTAGAAGCATTTTAAAAATTCTGTCGGGTAAATCACTTATTTCCCCTTTATTAAGGCACATTTCTGGAGTTTTATTTTATTCTTTTGTTTGGTACACATTCATTTATTTCTTCATTTTCCTTGACTCTGTTAGTTTCTGTGCACTAAAGAGGTACTTCTTCCAATTTTGGTGAAGTAGTCTCTTGTACAAGAAGGATCTTAAAATTCAGCCCTGTTCTATTATTTGGTTGTCTCTCCAAACTTTGTGACTGTCCAAACTGCCTTGTCCATTCTTAGTGGCTCCCAGTTAGTGAGGTGACGCTTCAGTGTCCTAGGCGGGGATCTCAGTCCACACCTAGTTGCAGGCTGATTGGAAGCTGGATATTCAGACAGAAGCACCTGAAGTATTCAGGTAGACCTCCCTCGGGGCAAGACTCAGAGATAGGAGGTCTGACTGCTTTCTGTGATTTTGTTGTTGGTTTTTGTTCTCTACCAGCCTGTGGGACCCAGAAACACAAGCCCCACGGCCACCAGAGCCAGGCCATCAGTGGCTGCATCCCCTGAGCAGCAGCCACAAAAGCCAAGGGACCAGACATGTATGTGCACAGGCTCCTTCAGTGGGAGGAAGACAGGACCCAGCGTGCACAGGACCCGGTGTGCAGCAGAGAAAAAATGTACAGATAATCCCACTCAGCTCCTTGGTGTCTGGAGAGGACTGTTGGCCTTAGATGTGGGTTAAATTAGGAGCCTGGTCCTCAGACTGCAGCTTTTATAAAAAGGAACTAGGCCTCTTTAAGGGAGAGACTACAAAGTGGGCATCTCTCTCTCTGAAGCCTCTGCACTGAGCCCTGCGGGGATAGACAAAGTCCTCACAGCCCATCAGGAGCTGCTTCCTTGTTCACTGCCCTGCTGTGAGCGTTGTGGACTTCAGCCAGATTGATTTCAGATCTACTTGTTTTGGGGGCTCATCCCTGAAGAAAACTTTGGAAATTGGAGTGATAGAGGTTAGGTTTAAAGCCCATTCTTCAAGGAGAAGCTGGGAGTGTGCATTTCCTCGTAATTGTGTGTCTCCATGTGGGGGCAGAGTTCATGGTGAGACTGTGTCTCATTCTCTTCGATTTGTGTAGCTGTCAGTTTTCTCTTTTGTCTAATGTGTGGGGTCTCTCAGGTAGTTTTTGGAATTCTTTCTCAGGGAATGATTCCATTAGTGGCTGTACATTCAGTGAGTCTCTGGGCCAAGCAAGTACAGGTGCTTCCTAAGACGTCATTGAACAATTAGGTTTTGCTTAAAAAAAAAAAACAACTTATTTATGTTAGCCAACAAAGTCAACCAGTTCCATGTTTGATGTTCACAGAGAAGTCCACGTCTGAGGGCTTAACGAATTCCACTGAATTTTGTTACGAAGATATGGTTGTCCTGCTGCCAAACCACAGACCAGAACCAGGGCTCGGGTCAGGCTCCTTTCACACCCAGAATGAAGACCGAAGCCAGTTTATTAGATGATAGTAAGGAGAAACTATACATATTTATTCATTCTAATTTGTGTGTCTTTTTTCGATCCTCACCTGAGGACAGGTTTTCATTACCTTTAGAAAGAGAAAGGATGAGATAGATAGATAGATAGATAGATAGATAGATAGAGAGAGAGAGAGAGAGAGAGAAACCTCAAAGTGAGACAGAAACATCAATTGACTGCCTACTTGTAAGTGCCCAACTGGGGATAGAACCTGCAACCTGGGTACGTGCCCTGACCAGAAATTGAACCTGAAACCTTTTGACCTGTAAAATGCTTCAACAAACTGAACTACACTAGCCAGGGCTAATTTGAGAGTTTTGACAGAGCAAGCTTAAAACGAAGTCATCGAGGGTAAGAAATTGGAAGGTATAAAGGAATTTCTAATGGGCAGGGAATGATTGCGTGAGATCTAAATGCCCGGCCAGGTACAAATTCCTGGGCCTCCCTCTCTTCTGAATCATGTCTATGAGGACCAGGTTTGGGGAGAACTTTGGCTCTGACCACCCTTCAGGCTTAAGTGAAGGTCATTTTTTTTTTGCTTTCTATACTGTCTGTGCCTCTGGGACCAGTTTGATCTGGCTCAGTCTGGTCCTACCTGGGGCTCTGGGAAGAGGTCTGCTGTTATCTCCTGAAAGTAAAAAAAAAACACAAAAAAACTTAGGTCTGGTTTTAGTGTTAGAGCCTCATTTCAGTAACATTAGAATTTATTCCAATTTCTCCTCATGCTAACAAGCGTGTCCCCAACTTTGAAGCAAATGTTGCTCTTGCTGCCTTTAGAGATTTTTGGATCCAGGTGCCAGCCTTTGAGCATGGAAAATTTTCCCAGAAAAATCTGGGAACACCTTCAGGCAGCCAGGCCACTGCAGGACTTTCAATGTCATCACTTCACGGGGCTGGAAATCCACAAATGATGTGAATTCCATGCTGAGCAAGGGAAGAGAAGGATCTTGTCACACACAACCTCGTTCCAGGCCTTGTGTGTTTTCACACGTTGCTCTCCCCTTTAAAGCCCCCACACTTCTCTGAGGCAGCATGATTCTCAATTTTCAGAGAAGAATATTGGCTCAGAGAGGGTCAATGATTTGCCCACGGTCACATAGCTGGTATGTGTTTTCCAGTATCTGAACCCAGGTCTCTGCCTACCAGACCTCAGAGGGAGCCTCTCTGCTTCATCCTCTAAAGAACTATGGACACACTGCCCCTCAGTGTCTGATGGGTCACAGGACAGTGTGGTCCTTAATGGGTCATCAGGTCCAGAGGTTCCTACACTTAGACACTGTAGGTCAACACACTTAATATTCCAAGTAAGAATAATTTCTAATAGTGTGCCAGTACTGGAAATGTCACCTTACAGAAGAAAGCTAATACCAGGAAAATAGAGAGGAAATAATTCATTTCTTCATTCTATTAAGAATATTAATTGACTGTATATGTTCAAAAATCACTTAAGATCTCCAGAGATAATCATGAAGGTATACATTAAGGAGAAACCATGTATTCAAGAAAATCTACTAAGACCAGGCAAGAAAAGTGAAATTCTGTGGTGTTTGAATCAAGATCCTGCCCCTCAGCCCCTTCCACTCAACCAGATGAAAACCACTCCAGACGCGAACAACCTGAACACAGGCCCAGCTCCCAGTTGAAACAGTTCAGGGTTCTCAGCTCACATGATATTACTGTACCTCAGATTCATACTGTCCTTTAGAAGCAAACAAAAAATTTTTAAAGGCATATCCATTATTGAACCACAGCCAATCTGAAGGCGGCTACCTCACTGTATCACACTATACAACTTGGTCACAGCATTGCTTTCTCTTCCTGTGGCTCCTGGTTGATGGTGTTGGATAAAGGTCTGATGGCATCAATGTCACTGTCCCTTCCATGTCCTCAATTCTCAGCAGCCCATTTTTCCTCCAACCACATTTAAGTCATGAGTGAGAGATAACGGCCCAGGTGACCATCTGGGGTTCTGTGTGTGATTCTGAGAGGACCATGGATGAAGGCCCAGGTCTGGGGGCATCACGGATGGTGAGAAGGGGCACTAGGGGCCCATGGGCAGCAAGTCTGCTCAGGGGAGAGGCATTTGAACAAGAGGCGGTGACACTTCCAGCCAATCTTCTTTTCCTTAGGCTGAGTGTGTCCTATGAGGAGGGAGACTGTGGAGATGGAGGGTGTTGAGCAGCAGGGGAGGAAGGAAGGGGCTGCAGGAAACAGGGTCTCATTTAATTATCTGCTCATCATTGAAGAAGTGTTCCCTGCACGTCTCCTGTGTTCCGGGCTGTCTTCTTCCTGACATGCCTGTTGTGAGAGAACATATAGCACCTGGCATAGGACTCTGCCACCTCAGCCTTTCTCCCCAAGTACTGACGTCCTTTCCCCATCCCTTCCCCTCTCTCAGAAGGAAGATCAAAGCCAGGACAACCCTCAGAGCAACAGGTTCAGGAATTCTCAACAATACTCTAAAGTGTGAATTCTTTAACTCCCTAAAGACCAGGGATCAAATAATCCAGAGATGGTCTTCAATGGAACCACCCTCTCAGCTGCCCCTCATTCAACTCCCTCTGCCCACTTCCTCCAGAGAAACCCTAAGATCTTGAGGACACCCTTTAACACCTTTAATCCAGCCCACCTCCTACAGAACCCACCCACTTCATAGGAAGTGAGAATCTCCTAGAGGGATCTTAGAGATTCCTGAGTGTACTGATGTACATGCATCACCTTCTCTTTATGCAATGTTACCTCTGACCCTGTGTGACCCGTGGCTGGCCCCTTCTGCTGACCTTACCCATTCTGGGACAGACCTTGGCCTGCTCTCCCTATCACACAACTTACAGTCAGGCTTTCCACGTCCTGTGGACATAGAGGGCAGAGACACCAACCACCAGCAGCACCTTGAAGCCTAGGAGGAGCCCTACGAGGACGTCAGTAGATGCTTCAGGGCCTGAACACAGAAAAACAGGAGGAGCTGTTAGAGAAAACCATTTCCAGGGGCCTGTAGTGGCTCCGTCTTGGGCTGCCTGCACCCACCAGTGTGCTGAATGTCTTTAATCCCACTCCGCTCTCAGGCTCAAGGCAGAAATCAGAGTAAAGAGCTTCCTCATCCTCAATCACCTCCTTCCTCCTTTGCCAGGGCTGTCTTCCTTGAGGGAGGGGGTGAAGAATATGTGTGCTTAGCAACCCGTGAGTCTGACCCCTGTTTAACTGACATGAACCTCATTCCCCTATGAGGCAGGTAGTTTCATCCTCAGTCTAATGAGGAAACAGAATCTCAGAGAGTTTATGGACGTCACAGATTAGTAGGATTCAAACCTACAACATACATCACTGTTGCTTTTTTGATGATCCTAAGCCCTTGTCTTTTGAGGGAAAACAAGAGCAACCTCTCAGAGTTGCAGCAACAATGTACTTCTCATGAGAGCTGCAGCTGGAAAACATCCTGGGATTCAAAGAAATGCACAAAGATTGGGAGGTGCTGAAACACCATTCAGGGGGCTTTGACCCCAAGGTCTGTGTCAGCTGAAATGTTTCTACTGCACAGAGAAAGTCATATCTCAGAAAGAACACCTTTACATTCTTTGCAGGTGTATAATGACCCATTTTTGTTTAAATAAACAAGGACATTAAATAATTCATTATAATTTAAAATATCCTTAATGTAGGACTGAGGAATTCACCATATTTCCCGTGGGAAGGTGGAGAATGGCAATTCTCAGCTGAGAGGCTCTCTGGGACTTACCCTTAGGGGAAGGGAGCTTCACTGTCAAGTTTGCACCACTCCTAGAGGACAGCCTGGGTAGAGGACAGGCTGAACAGGGAGTATAAAGGTTCAGCTCCCTCCCCTCCATGTAAACATTTCTCAGAGAATGTTCTTCTGTCCAGGTCTCTGTAGTGTGGCCAAGTCTGGAGCCTGCATTGCAGTTCAGCAGCTTCCTCTGCTGCTCCCTCACTCCCTCTGCTGCTCCCTCACTCCCTCTGCTGCTCCCTCACTCCCTCTGCTGCTCCCTCACTCCCCCTGATCCTGACAGCCCCCCACAGTGAGCTTCCCACGCTCATATCCATTAACAGTTTACTTCCAAGGTGAATGATGTGTGGGAGGCAACTGTGAGCCTTCTGGAGAGCAAACTCTAAATTGCAATTTGGAAACTGGATCACTCATCAGCTGGCTGGTCAGGAGGACCCAGCACCAGTGGGAGGTGCAGCAGGGGTGGCCCAGCAGGCCCTGTTGATGCAACTGTTAAAATTCTCACTGGTGGTGAACTGGGATGGAGTAACCAGAGGAAGAGATTACCTGGGCATCAGGCATTTGGAAGTGAATTGGGAAATGGTCATTATAAGGACAACGGGATTGGATGACTATTGTTCGGGCATCATTCCTTTGGAGAAAGACAATGAAAAGTTTGTGTGAGCCAGAAGACTTCTTGATAGTATTTCAGATTCTTTTCTTCTAGAGTCAGAGGGCAGAAAAGGCTGAGATTTAGGCCAAGGACATAATTCCAGGGGTAGCAGAGGGACAGAGAAGTTAAATTCTCTAGTTCAATGAGGCAATGTTGGGAAATAAGGGACCCTGAGACTGGGGCCTACGGGCCAGAGCACCCAACAACCTTCAGTCCCCTTCCAAGCTGCCGGGGACAGGGGCAGCAGCACAGCTACTTATATCCAAATACAGTCTCTCCAAACCAAAGAAAAAACGCACAGAAAGTAATTAAATGGCACATGCAACTGGGTGTCATAGAAAAACTAGAGAAAGTTAAAATAACTTTGAGTCAAAAGAGAAAAATCACCAAACCCCAGAGCAGAATCTTCCATGTGGCACCTTCCCACCCCCACCCAGACACAAGGCACAGGGCAGCTAGCGGAGGGGCTGGGAGCTGCTGGGGATGCACCACCACCAATACTGAATCCACCCTAACTCTGAAACACTGCACAGTGTCCTGGAGACCAGAGGGCACACAGATCATGGCAGAAGGCTTCAAAGTGAGTCTGCTTCAATGGGTCAGAACAGAGTCCCCATAATCTGTGAATATGTTAACTTACCTGGGAAAAGGATCTAGTCATAGTGTTGAAGTGAAATGGGGATATTTTTTCAAATTTTCCAAGTGGAGCCGATGTAATCACAGAGATCCTGCTACGTGAAAGGGGAGGCGGGTGAGCCAGAGGAGGAGATGGAAAGACGGGGACAGAGCTCAGAGTGCTGTGGGGCCTCAGCCGAGGGTGTGGGCAGCCTCTGGGGCTGCTAAAGGCAAGGACCCGGATTCTCCCCTAGATTCCCTGGAGGAGCGCAGTCCTGCCAACCCGCTGCAGTCCTCTCCCTGCTAGAGCTCAAGATAATAAACCTGTGTTGTTTAAGGCACCAAATGTGTGTGATTTGTTTCAGTGGACACAGGAACCTAATACAAATAGGAGATTTAAAAGGATGGATGAAATTGAAGGGGCAGGCACAACTTTAAACACACAACTTCTGTGGAGAAAAGGCAAAAACAAAACAAGGGACAAAAGGCTGTTTGGAACTGAGTGTTAACTGGAAATAGAAATAGCAGAGGCAGAAAATGTAGAGTTCTGAAAGACAAAAAAGGGCAAAAAATCTGAGGACTTGAAACCATGTTCTTATTATTAAAACCAACCATCTACCTTATGTCTGCATTGATATATGTGGATTTTGCTATATTGACAGAAGAGAGGTTCATTTATCTAGAAATACTGTAAAGCACCCCAGTACCACAAACATGACCAAAAAGATGTGCATTGTTGTGCCACACCCACTGGCCCAGGACTGCAGCGACCTGAATCCTCAGATGCTGGTGTAGACTGTGACATCCCAGGGCAGAGGGTCACAACAGTGCATATGTACCTTGTGCATATGTACTTTGCACTTTGCTTCAGCCAGTCAACCCAGAAAACCCAAAGCCATTCTCAAGTTAGTACTCAGCAGTGCTCGGGCCAGGCCCACTGGGGGAACACGGAGGTAACAGCCTGCTTGAGACCCGTGAGAGGTGGAGACTCACAAGCAAACCCAAGGAGGTGCAGGGAAGATGGCAGAGACTCATCTCTCCTGCTTCCTGTTCAGTTCTCCTCTGACCCCTGGAGATAACACCAGGTTCGAGCACAGGAGGACTGGGGGGATGGAAGAAAGGGCACACTGACTGGGGACCCGAGGATGGGGAAGAAACTCAGCATTCAGGCATCGGAGGTGGCACTATCCTCACACCCCAGCCCACAGTGCAACCCAGCTGTGGCACTTAAAAAGTCTAAAATCAACAATCTGTGTTACTGTCTCCGAAAACAAGCAAAGGGGGTGCAAAATCCACCCAAAGCAAGCAGCAGGAAGGAAATTATAAAGAAGGCAAATATCAATGAAATTGAAAATAGAGAAACTCACTGAAACAATAAGTGGGTTCTGTGAAGAGATTCATAAATTGAAAATTTTCTACCAAGACTGATGAAGGGAAAAAAAGGAATGACACATTTTCACACCAGGAGGGAAATGGGATGGCACCGCCAACCCGCAGACATCAGCAGTGTAATGAGGGAGCATCTGAGCAACTCTGCAGGCCGACGGGGGTGATGACTGCTGGTCCATTGTCCCAATCTGGGGAAAAGGAGGCCTGTGCTGTAACCACCCATGGTCACTTGGAGGACTTGACCTGAGTCAAACTCCACGTCCCAGGGCTCACTTCTTTTTACAGAGCAGCAGTTCAGGAATTTGTGGGTGACCTTACTGATGCGGATGGAAAAGTCTAGGATGGAACAGAGACCAGGAGGAGGTTGGAGAGAGCAGGGAGGGGGGAGGGGCTGGCGTGGACAGTGGACAACAGGTACTGTTAGGAGAAGGAAGGGACAGGCAGGACACTGTGAACACACAGTGCTCCTTCAACACACACCCCTTCCTCTTTCTTCCTTAAATGTGTATCGATGTGAACAGATCTATAAATATATGTACCTAACTCTCACCAGTGGTGACTCTTGGAGTGTGCAGTTTGAAAAGGGGATCTCCCTCTAAACTTCTACTTTCTATCAGTAAACTTCTAGATTTCTCTATATAAGCACCAATTTCTATTTGTAACATTAAAAGCAAAATAAAATGTAAATATAGCTGTTCAGTTGGGGTGGAGGACTCACCAGAGGGTCCACCTGTGCTCAGGACGTTCCAATTAGCGGGGGCCTCCAGGGTGAGGTTCCTGCTGACGGCCGGCTGCCCATCGTGCTGCACCAGACAGGTGAGCACCACGGCCTCCCCGCAGGCAGACGAGTTCACCAGGATCCAGCTCCCCCAGGTGAAGGTCCCATCCTTGTTCTCTACTCGAGTTAAGGGCATTTCTGTTTGAGACATGTTTCCGTTCTTCAACCAGGTCAGCTGTAGGCTCTGGGGGTAGAAGTTCTTCACCTGGCAGATGATGATGTTGACTTGGTTCTCTAACATGATGTGTTGGGAAACCTCCATTGTGGGCAGAACTGAAACAGCACAGGGCAGAGGCTCTGACCTCGTGGACACACAGATCACAGAGGATCCCCATAACGTAGCTCCCCCACCACAGCAAGGGGGCACCCAGGAGAGTGCTGGGTATGCAACAGGTGATCTGACACTGAGGGTTCACCTTCAATATGAAGGTGACATCACTAGGCACAGTGCCCTGCACACAGTAGGTGCTCAGGACTGGCAGTTGCTAGTAGGGTGATATGAGCGAGATCAAACCAGTACAGCCCTGGATGCAGTCAGAATGTAATAGCTGTAGCAAAATAAGTGAAATCGCCAAGCATATAATGGCTTGGTTTACAGTGGGTGCTCAATAATTGGAGTTGCCCTTGGTAAAGTGGGTGAAACTACCAAGTACCATTGCAGGTCTTCATCTGGTCACTGCCATTAAACAGTGGTGAGTGACAGGCACCTCCAGGGCCTTGTGATGGGAAGGACTGTCGGGAATTACATTCCAGGGAAATCACACTCTGGAGCAAATGGCCGGGGGAGGCACAGGCTTGGAGGGTAGGAGCCAGGTGTGGGCTCGGGCTGGGTGTGAGGGCATCTACCTCGGATGATCTCAGACAGGTTGGCAGTCCCACGAAGAGGAGGGCCCCCCTTCAGGGTGACGTGTTCCACCTGGCAGATGACCTGGGAGCAGACATCCCCCTGGGCCAGCCGCACCGAGGCTGTGCTGGAGATGCTGTAGGGAGGGCTGTCTCCCTCTGGGTCCACGGTGGTCTGGGAGGCTGGGAGCTCGTTCCCATCTTTGAACCATCTCAGGGCGATGTTCCTGGAGAAGAAGCCGTGGGACTCGCAGGTGAAGCTCACTGTCTTCCCAGGTGTGGCCCTCTCCGTGGGGGCTGACACCACGGGGGGAGAGGGTTGGGCTTTAAAAGGAGCACAATGAATGAACAATAAACACGACTGTGATCATCACCAGCAATGACAAGCATGTGACTCTACTCTGTAAGGACCATTCTCGTATATTGTTTTCTGTCCTCTAACAATGCTGGGAGGGCGTGTTACTGTTCTCATCTTACAGAGGAGGACACTCATGTCCCCAGAGGTAAACTCTGAGTGACAGGCAGGATGCACAAGCAGCTCCAGGACCTACTTCAAAGGACACCTTCCTTCGTCCCCAGGTGACCTCCCACCCGTCTGGGCTCAAGGACCTCTCCCTCTTGCCATTAACTCTCCTGTCTGGCCTCCCTGACACCTCCCCATCCTCACAGACGGTGTTCAAAGAGTAAATGCAGGGAAAGCTGTGGGGACCGGGACCCCATAAAGTGATAGAACAAAGCTGAGGAGAGGTGCGGCCAGGGCACATCCCAGTCCTGCCTGTGAGAGGGGACAGCAGGCACTTCTCCTTCCCGGGCTGCAGGGAGGGTTACATCAGGTAACGGAAGCTGCTTTACTTTGAGTGAAACAGACGATGCTTCACAAAAGTGAATAAACACAGATTCATCTTGAACCTGCATCTAATTTATATGTGGAACTCTCCCATCAACTACTAATAAGTTTACTCCGTAATTTTCATTATTTCAACAAATATTCCAGTAGGGGCAAATCTGTGCCAATCACTCAATTTCAAAGGGATGGGCTTGGGATGATTTTCTGATTTGGGGTTCTTACCTTGCGTCAGTTTTGGATTAAAAAAAGAACAGTGCTGAGAGAGTCAAAGGCGGTTAATTTCCCGATCTTTATGAATGAGAAGGGGTGTAGACACAGGCCCAAGAAGCAGGCAGACTCCCTGCGTGTTGTGAAAGGATTTCCCTGATCCCAAGGATCATTGAATCAAAACCAAGAGCAGTTTCTCACTGTACAAAGATTCTGCAGGGTGTCTCGAAATTTTTAATTATCACCCAACACCATCTGTAACAGGGGGCACACATCAAATATGAAAAAGGTTTGCATTTGTAAATATTTAACTTGCAGTATAAAATTCATCGAACATTTTGAGAACATAGTTAAGGGGGTGTCACTTGAATAAGTCAAGTTACACAAACCCTAGCAGCCGGAATGTCACTATGGGGGTGGAGGCTGGGCTCAGGTACCAGTGATCTGGAGCCTGTTGGGCTCCTGACCATGGGCCGATACCTCTGTGACCCTCAGCTGCTCACCCTCCCACAGCCCTGCAGGCCAGCTCTGGTCAACTCACTTATGGCAGGAGGCTGAGACAGACTGAGTGCAAAAACCCAGATGGGAAAAAAAACAAAGGAAACAACCAAATTGATGTTATCTCACTTAATTTTTTAAAAATCATCCCCTCGGGAAACAAGTTTGACAAATTGACTTTCAAAACACACACAAGCCCTGGGTCAGTGGATTGAGTGCAAGCCTGAGAACCAAAGAGTCGCTGGTTCGATTCCCAGTCAGGACACATGCCTGGGTTGTGGGCCAGGTCCCTAGTACAGGTTGCACGACAGGCAACCAGCCACACATTGCTTTCTGTCCCTCTTTTTCTCCCTCCCTTCCCCTCTCCAAAAGTAAATAAATAAAATCTTTAGAATCACACACACACACCAGGTCCCTCACTGGTGTTTCCCTGCAGATCAGCTGTTTACAGACCCTGGGAGCATTTTCAAAAAGGAGAGCAGATTTTAGCAGTGACGTGCTGGTGTGTTGGGGCAGGAAGGGCTCTGGGGCAGTACAGTGAGTATTTTGTGGGGACTCTGCAGCCTGTTCAGACACAAATGGGTTTAAAGATGGGAAGGTGTCCCCAGACATGGGTTCAGATCCCACAGGGTGTCTGGGCTGTGTGTCCTCAGTCCTCGAGAGAGCAGGGTGCCACTCTCAGCCCTAGTCTGCTCCATGGAAGGTGTCCCTGCCCCCCCCCCCCCGGCTCATTTTCTTGGGCCTCTGATGAGCTGTCTCTGGCACATGAGATTCTGAAGCCCCCACACCACCCAAAGGTGTTGTTCTCACAGCCCAGCAGCAGGGGGAGCCACCTTTGTCAGGGGAAAGAATGTGAGGTTTCCTCTGTGACCTCAGAGAACATTTAGCTCAGGGCTCTCTGTCTCTGGATAGTGAAGAACTTCAGCTGCCAGGCCCCCGTCTGACAGTTGAATCAGAATTCCCAGGGTGGAGCCAGGGTCTGGGGACCTTTGCAACGACTCCCAGGTGATTCCAATGAGCAGGGAAGGGTGAACAGCACAGAACCCCACCTCCAACCCTATTGTATTGAGACTCGAAAAGGAAAGTGACCCATCCAACGTCCTGTGGCCTGAGCCTGTCATAGCCCACAGTCATCGAACATCTGCTATGTGTCAGGTACCACTCTGAGCACTTCGCATGTGGTCACTCACTCAGGCCTTGGAGCTGCTCCGTGAGGTCACTGCTGTCACTGACAGGTGAGGACACCAGGCACAGTGTGGGGAACAATGGGTCAGAGGTCACAGGCTGGGAAGTGGCAGAGGTGGGATGTGGGCCCAGGCAGGGGTCTCAGCACAGGCGCTCACCTGCTGGGTGCTGACGCTCAGTGACACCCTGACCCCCGCATTAGGGGCTTTCTAGACACCCCCTCCTGTCCTCACAGACCCCTGAGTGAGAGCTGGGATTATCACCCCTGTACAGGGACACTGAGGACCCCAGGGACACTGAGACTTGCCCAAGAGCACCCAGCAGTGGGATGACGCCATCACTCACCGAGGCTCCGCCCTCTCACCAGGCTCCCTGCAGCCTCAGTCCTTCCTGCAGAGGGTGGGGAGAGCGTCCACTGTCTGCAGGTGAGGACACAGGGGCCCAGCAGGACAGAGTGGGCCACGCAGTGAAATAACACCCGATTTGGGGAGTGACTCTGTGCTGGGAGATTCAGAAAGAGCACCTGAAATCCTTCCACTCCCCAAAGGAGTCCATGATTGTCACCATCTTACAGAGGAGCAAAGGGAGGCTGAGAGAGATGAAGGGGCTGTCTCCTCACCCAGTACTAGGTCCTGGGACTATTTGCTGTGGCCCCAATTCATGTCCATCCATGCAGGTCACAGCATGGCTTTTTCTTCCTTTTTCCTCTCTGAGAATTTTGACTTTAAGGAGTAACAGGGAAGAGTTAACTCCAAGTGATATGGACTCAAGCCCCTCTTGCAATAATTGAAAGACGTGACCTTCTGAAAAATGAGTCCAGAACATGAACTTGGCTCAGGCAGGGTCCCAACCAGCCTCAAGGAAGTGGTTGCCCCTTCTTGTTCTCAGTCTGTAGGTCCAGGATTGTTATTCAAGGTGTTTCTGGGGGTGCCTTGGCCCCTCTCTGCTCTGTCAAGGCCACTGTCCCCAGGCTGCTCCTGCAGGTGCTCAGAGAAGGACAAAGAGCACAACGACAAAGCGGAAAAGCCTCCTGGATGCTCCTGTGTGCTGAGCCCTGTCACTAGGAGCAGGGTCACCACACGGTGAGACTTTGTGTACCTGTCTGATCTGGGTTGTAAAGTTGTCCCACCCACCCCACAGAACCTGATAAAAAGTGCTTACTGCTGAAGACAAAACAATTTAAGTTTTAAAGGAGAGGTTTGGAGCTTTCTGCACACTTTGACAAGCACCCAGGTTGGGGGAAGGTAACGGGGTGGCAAACACCAGGGGCTGTGAGTCAGGCTGTTTGGGGTCAATCATGGCTTCCCTCCATGCTCACAAGTCAGGTCCCCTCCCTGAGCCTCAGAGTCTTCATCAGGCAACAGTAACCTCTGCCACAGCACCGGTTATCAGAGTCAATGTCATGAGGAAGGTAAGGCACCTAGAAAGCTGCTGCTCCTGCCCTCTCCCGCCTCCCTGCCTTCTCACCCAGGGCGTCCTCTGGGCAGGCGGCTTGGAGAAGAGGAACCAGGACTTTACCAGGAGACAGCAGACCTGAGATGGAGCCACACACTGTCTGTGATTGCCTCGGCAAGGGACATGCTATTGGGAACTACTGTAAAAAAATTCAGAAATTTTTTTGTCCTACCAAAAAATTTGGGATAAAGCCACCTCCCTGGCCAGTGTTCAGGGGCTGTAGAGAGACTCCATTGCTACTGCATCTAGGACAAAAATGGGCAATAGCCACACAAATTCAAATAACATACCCTGTGACCCAGCACTGCCACTTCCAGTGGGCATCTCCCTCTTGACCAAGTGACACATGGACAAGGTTCTCCCCTGCATCCTGTTCTAATAGCCAGAGGCTGGGAACAACTTATATCCATCAACACACTGTTAATGAACGACTCTGTCTCCATACACTGGAGGATGAGGCAGCTGTTGAAGAAGGGGCAGCTCCAGGTGCTGATGTGGATGCTTGACTTGGGGGGATGCGGCTAAAAGTTCGAGAGGATTTCAATCACCTTGGGCTTCAGGGTCTGGTGTGAGGGCCATGTGAACCTTTGAGAAAACAATGAAAGGGATGTTCTGGCCCCTTGTTCAGTGGTTTGGTGTAATTTCCTGTTATTCAGGACCTACTATGCGCCATGTATTCCATGAAAAGAGGGTCCTATAACAGGGCAGGAAGGAATGTTGCTTAGACTCAGATTGGGCTCTGGGATGACCCCTCACTTACTAGCCATGTGACCAAAGACAAAACCACCGTCACCTCTTGACCTCAGGCTCCCATCTGTACGTAACGGGTCAGGCAGGATGGTCTAAACATTCTCTGTTGGCTGGCATTCCAGGATTCAGAATCCTGGGTCTCTGGCAGAAAATCCTAAATGAACATTTTTGCTGCCTCAGTAGGGTGACCCTGAAGACACCCTCATGGGGACTCCTACTCAGGGAGAAGGACAGTGTGAGAAAACTGCTCAGAACCTAAGTGACAGTGTGATCAGGTCCCTGAAATAAAGGGGGTTCATCAGACAGACCCACAGTGAGCCCCCAACCTCTGGCACCTCCTCCCAGCAGGGCTGGCAGAGTGAACAGGAGTCTGTGGCCCTTGGGAATGTCTTCTCATGTGATGCTTCTGAGGAGGAAATAAAGGAACACGCCCCCTCCCTGCCCTGCATGGATCTCCCCCAACTGCAGGGAGGAGAACGAAGCTCCGTGGGGAAGAGCTCTGCCTGCTCAGTCCCCTGCAGCTCCCACAGCACCCAGAGGGGAGCCCGGCTCCCAGCGGGTGTCAGTGAGTGTCAGTGAGGGGGGCTCGGCCACACTGAGGGGAGGGCTCTCTGGAGGCAGGGGAGAGGTCTGACCTCATGATGGGCAAGTCCCTCAGACCTTCAGTTCCCTCATTCCTGCCCCAGGCTGGACAGAATTGGAGAAGGCCAGAGCTAGGGAGTCAAGCAGATGAGGGTTTCAGACTTTTCCCACCCTTTACTGGCCATAAGGACTAAGAAGATAGCAGGACCTCTCCAGGTCTCAGCTTCTCTGTCCTACGGAAGAGGTGACATCAGACCAGGAATCAGACCCTGACTATGAGCACCCACAACCTGATTCCTAGTTGCTGCTATAAAAACAATGGTCTTTCTTATGGACTTATTGTCGCACAATAGGGACAGAGGATCCCACACTGTACTCACCACTCACGATGAGCCGAGTGACTACTCCAAACTTGAACTCCATGTCAGGGTTCCCTCTGTGGAACGTCACACAGTAGTAGGTACCAGCGTCTGCTAGGGTGATGTCACTGATGCGGATGGAAAAGCCCATCACGTATCTTCTAGCATATGCAACACCTGTTACTCGGGGAGAGTGGCCTCCTCCTTGACTGTAGATTAACTCCCGGCCTAGCCCTGTTGCCTTGAACCACGTGATGGGCCCCAGAGGAAATATGGGGGTCATGTCGCAGCTCAGAGTGGCCGTCTCTCCTGCTGCCACCTGCAGCTCCTCACCTGCCCCTCCTGGAGGGAAACACAAAGCAGCTATTTATCCATCCATGTGTGATTATGTGGGTTTTGTCAAGTGTTTATCAGCAACAGCTTTCATGGACTGAGTGCACACCCTGAGTGGGCCTGAGCTCAGCACATTGCATGTGTCATACATGTAACCGTCACAACAAGCCTGTAATGTGAGACCCTATTGGGAATGAGGAAACTGAGGCACCGAGAAGTAAAGTGATGTGACAAAGAGTGGGTTTAAATCATTCCCTGCAAATGGTTCTGATTGGTGCCGCCAATGGAGAGTGTGTGCTGGGCCTTTTCCTGTGATGATTGGCTGCCCAGCTGAGCCAAGTGGCTGCTGGCAGGGTGACAGATGCAGCCTGAGGAGCAGGAGTGTGTCTGTCAGTCCTTTTGTGCCTGAGACACCAGCTCAGCCATGGCTGATCTTGTAACAATGACAAAATTAGCTGATAAAGACCCGTTGAATTTTTACCCCAATTTCAACTTCAACATCTCTCACGAAAGGGACTGTGCTGCTGAACCTGAGCCTCAAGTAGGAATTGATGTAAAGAGAAGAAGTTTTCTAAGTGATGTTTCAATTTCAGAATTCTCTCAGATTATGAAAAGAAAGTTTACAAACAAAGAATAAGAAACAATCAGAAGCTTTAAGGATGAATGCACTTGGTTGGATGTTTTACATAAAAGCTGTCAGGGTTGGACTAGGATTTGAACTTCAATGGCTTGCATTTGCTATGTGCCCATTAACCCTTATAAAGAGGCACAGTGGCTCTGAAGGGAGAAGAAGAAAAGGAAAGGAGGTTGAAGAACAGAAAACAATGAGGACCATTTGTTGCAGTGACTCTTAGGAAACCATCAATGATTGTATCACCTGCTGTTCCCATGGCCCCTGAAGATCCTTCATTTACGGACTGTTGTTGTTGCCTCACAGAAGAAAGTTTGATATGAAATGGTACAAAGTAACCATATGACAACAAAGAAGAGTGAAACCTGTTTTGTATTATTCTGTATTCAATAAAAAGTTAATGCCTGATGCAATCAAATTTTATTTCACAAAACAGTATGAAAAAGAAAAACACAACTTTTCCTATTAAAAAAGTACACTCCTAGCCCATCTGGTGTGGCTCAGTTGGTGTGGCTTCAGCTACATCCTTGTAGCTGAAGGGCTGCGAGTTCAATTCCCAATCAGGACACAAGTGTAGGTGGTGGGTTTGATCCCTGGTACCTGCTTAGGCTCAGGTGACCCCCATCTGAATGTGCCCAATCCTCACTCCCAGTGAGGATCTCAGGTCGGGGCACGTAGAGAGGCAACCAATGGATGCTTCTGTCCCAGTGATGTTTCTCTTTCCCTCTCCCTCACTCAGTCTCTCCAAAAAAAAAACAAATGAAAAAAGTGTCCTCAGGAGAGGTTAAAAAAAGAAAAACAGCGTTCTATCAGTTCACCAAAGTGTAGTAGAAGACATGTTTATCTTTTCTTTTTCCCCCAAATCACATTGAACTGACAGAAGAAATAGTGATGGGCGGCTGAATCTTCAGTGATACAGGATACCCCATTGTATCCCGAGTGGCTTTACTGGGCTTTATTTTATTGCACTTCACAGGCGTAGCCTTTTTTACAAATGAAAGGCAGGAAGACGGAGCACCAGTAAAAACACGAGGAGTCGTTTCAGAAAGTCTGAACCTGCACCTGCAGTGCCTCCCAGGCCGCCTGCTCGTGCTTGTCGCAGAAAATGCAATTATGCAATAAAGGAACATTTACATTTTTGTTTTTAAGACAACCTATAGCAGAGATAATTATTTCTAAAACTTTTTCTTGGCAAGTGAACTCTAATGAATGTACTCGCTTTTTAATACAAAATGGTAACACATGATTTTGTAGTTTTTTTCCTACTAACTGGCTATCTACTGTTCATACATACTTCTGTGGTATGACTTTCCCCGGCTCTAAAGCATTCTACTGTACAGCTGATGTCAGGATGCTTTGACCAGAGGTTAAGTGTCCAAACATAACTGACTTCAGTAACCAAGCACATTCATTACTCACACACACGCAGCTCACATGTGTCATTAAGGACTCTGTTTGGACTCAGCCTCAGGGTGTTTGGCCTTAGGCTTGTCTCCTGGTCCCAAGAGCTGCTGCTGCAACTGCAGCTTCACATCTTCACAGAATTGCATCTAAAAGTCAGGAAAGGCTGCTCCTCTTCTCATGTCTCAGTTTGTCAGTGAGGAGTGCATTTCCCACGAGTCCCCAGAAGATTCCTCCTCGGTTCCCTGGATTCAGTTCCCTGGGTCAGCTCACTGAGGAAGCGATGGTTAGACCCTGTGGGAAGTGGACTCTGTGAGGGGAAAGGAGCTGAGGGAGGCCGGGAAGGTGGCATCAAGGGGACACCCACAGCCTTCGGAAAGGGAGGGGCCACTGCTTACTCAGTGTTCCTCTGGGTCAGACATTTGGTTGTCTATAGATGTCACTGTGAGCAGTGGTGCAGGGAGCGCCCTTGTGACCATGTTCTGAGGTGTGTGCTTAGTCATGTCCTTGAGAAGGGTTCTGGAAGTGGGATGATTGGTTCAAAGGGATTAGACTCTTTTAGAGCTTTGATGAGTATTGCCAAGTAGTTCCCCAAAACACTGTGCAATGCATGCTTCTAGCTAGTTCATATGTGTGATCACCCTTTTACCCCCACTTGTATGTTGCATCCACCAACGCGAGAGACATTTTGTCAGAAACTTTCAGGATTCAGAGATGTTATTTTATCGGCCAAAGTTTTAATCTGCGCAGGGGCGAACCCTCAGAGTGTCCGGAGACACGGTGCTCATAAGAGCTGCAAACGAGAGCCGCCCTAAGCGCTCACAGCTAAGTCTTTTTATAGACGCGAGCAAGCAAGCATTGTATAGAAGCAAATGTGGCTGTTAGCTATTGGCTACTTGGTGGCGCAAGCATGACCTAAGCTTTCTGGGTTTTGAGTAATGGAAAAATTTTAATCTAGACACTTGAACAGGTGGTCCTCTACTTGTTCAGCCCCATTGGTTTTGTAGTTCCGCCTTCTCCACTCCCTATGTTCTTTCTTAATCTCCTTGTGGTTTCTGCCTCCAGGCTAAATCTCTTTAAGGCAGTCCCTGTTTTATTCTCTATTTTTCTGGTTTCAACACTGTATACTCCCTGATTGACTGTAGATACTATTTTTAAAAAGTAATCTTTGCCATTGTCAGTGAAAACTGGTACCTTATTTGTAAATTTTTTATGTATGTCAATACAAATAGGGTTGATATGTCAGTGTCTTTTATTTTAATAAGCATGTCCAAATATTCTTGTAAATAATGTGTTTTAAAAGGATCAAGTAGCATTTATAACAGAGAAAGCATTGTTATCCCTAGCATGAATGCAAAGGGGATATGAAAAAATGTCATCTGTCTTGTCATTATAATAATAAAATGATTGACATTGAAATAAGCAAAAAGAGTGGGTTTAAGTGCTGAGTCTCCTCTGGAAGTGCCACCCTTCCCCAGACATTTCTGGCTGTGCACTCTCTGCCTCATGGAGTGTCCCACTTATGGAACATTGTGGGGTGGGGCCCTGAGACTTCTCTAGACCACTGAGCTGTGCGCAGTGAGAATGTGTGTTGTGGGACGTGCATTTAACTGCAAGACCCTCTATGGAGCAACTTCCCTCTGCCACAGAGATGCCCATGTCACGCAGGGCTCTGCTCCCTCAGCCTGGGCACCTGAGTGACAGTGACGTGCAGAGCTCCCAACACACAGTGATCAACTCATTCAGATAAGAAGTAAAACAAGGTCTCAAGTTCCTGAGATTTTTTCCCCCATAGTATAATCATGTTACATTAGATTCCGAGGTTGATTTAAGAAAAGACCAAAATTTCAGTGGCTTGAAACAAGTGAAATTGATTATTTTATAGTTCCAGAGGTCAGAATCCATAGTTGGTATTACTGGACTGAATTCAAGATGTCAGCCAAGCTGCATTTTTGGAGGCTGTTCCCTGCTTTTCCAAATTTAGAGGATGCCCACATATCTTTTCTTATGTTTTCCAGCTTCCCATAACTCCAACCTTTTGATTTGTTTTGTTACTTGTTCTTCTCTGACTTTGATTTTCTTACCACCTTTGTATAAGAATGCTTGTGATCATATTGTGTCCACCTGAAATCTAGGATAACCTTTCCATATCAAGAGTCTTAATGACTTCTACAAAATCTCCTTTTCTAAATGAAGTAAAATACTCCCAGGTTCTGGGAACTAAGACATAGACCTCTTTTGAAGGCCCATTGCTCTCTGCACCAGGCACACCTCTATGACTGTCAGAGAAACCAGTGCTACAAGTAAAACACCCATGTATGTGGCATTGTCACACTGTGTGAATGACAAGGCTATGCCTGGAATCTGTAAGGACTATTCTAGCAGTGGACTGGTGAAACAGTTTGACAAAGGAAACTAAAAAGCAATCACAGGAGGAAAATGAAGTGGTCATGAATAAAAAGAAAGTAAGTAAGTAACACCCCCCCAAAATTAATAGGTCAAAGCATAAATCACAAGAGAAATTAGAGAACCTTAAGAAATGTGAGAGTGAAAACACAACACAACAAAGCATATGATGCAGGCAAAGCAGTCACAGAGGGAAATTCATAGCTGCAAATGCATGCATTTAAAAAGAAGAAAGAGGCCTGGCTGGTGTAGCTCTGTTGGCTGGAGCATCGTTCTGTAAACCAAAAATTTGCAGGTGTGATTCCCACTCAGGGCACAAGCCTGTGTTCTGCAAACTTTGGTCCATGCCTTTGGTCCTAGTTGGAGCATATATGAGAGGCAACTGATCAATGTTTCTCTTCCTCTCTTTCTTTCTTCCTCCCCCTCTCTCTATCAATAAATAAAAATATTTTAAAAAAAGAAAATATCATAAGTGAATAATGTTACTATGCACCTTAAGAAATTAGAGAAAGAAAATCAAAACAAACCCCAAACTTAAGGTATCAGAAAGAAGAAGATTATAAAGAGTAGTGCAAACATAAATAAAATGTGAGTAGAAAAACAACAGAAAAATCAACAAAACCAGGAGTGGTTCTTCAAAACACCAGCACAATTAACAGACCTTTAGTTATATTGACTAACAAAAAAGGAGAGAAGATCTAAATAAGTAAAATTAGGAAAAAGGACATTCTTAAAATTTTTATGGTAACAAAACTCAGTTACAATTTACAGTAGTGATGAACGATTCAAAAGAGTAAGCTAACAATTTCATTTTCAGTAGCAACAAAAAATATAAAATACTTTGGCACAAATTTAATCACTGGAGTGAAAGACTTTTTCACTGAAAAGTAATAAGCATTGCTGAAAGACGTTGCAGCAGACTTAAATGGAAAAACATCTGTGTTCATGGGCTGGAAGACTTAATATTGTTAAAATGTCAGTAGCAGCTAAAGCAATCTATGGATTCAACAAAATATCTATTAAAACATCAATGGCCTTCTTTGAAGAAATAAAAGTTTATTTTGAAGCTCATGTAAAGTGTCAAGGGGCCCCAAACAATGCAACAATCTTGATAAAAGAATGTAGTTGAAGGACTCACATTTCCTGTTCGAAAAACTCAGTACAACTACAGTAATCACAGTAATGTTGTCCCATCATGAGAGTAGATGGAGAGACCAAAGGGATAGAACAGAGAGCCCAGAAAGAAGCCCTCACAGACATGTGAAGAGATTTTCAATGAGGCTGCCAAGACTGTTCAATGAAGAAAAGACAGTGTTTCAGTATCTGGTGCTGGGAGACTGGATATCCACATGCAAAAGATTGAAGTTGGACCCTTATCTTATATCATAAACAAAAGCGAATGCAACATAAACAAAAACCTAAATATAAGAACTAATACTTTAAAATTCTCAGGAAAAAAAAGCCATAGGCAAAACTCTACATGACTTCAGATGTAGCAATGATTTGTTGAATGTGCCACCAAAACCACAGATGACGAAGAAAACAAACAAAGTCCCTCAGAGGAGGAGGCAGCTGAGGCACCACCAACAAACCCTGTGTTCTGCTCTGTTCCTCAGCTTCCCCTCAGGGAGAGAGTCTGTGGGTCACCTTTGCAGAGTGTGAGCTGGTGAGCCCCTCCCACTCAGCGCTGTGTGTGACCACAGCCCCCAAGGAGGCCACGTGCTATCACAGGGCGGGTCCTTTCGTGCCAAGAACAGGAGACTGACTGAATTTGAAGTCAGGAGAAGAAGGATGGGGACAGGGAAGGGGAACGGCTGAGACCAAAACGGGAGAAACAGGAATGAATCTTGGAGGGAGAAGTGGGGGGGAAGGAGGAGGAAGAGAGGAGAGACGTCAGAGCGTGGAGAGGAGCGGGAATGACACACTGTGCGTCTGTGCTTCTGTAAACCTCCCACCACACCCGTGACCCAGGCCTTTCCCTGAACTCCGGACTGTATGTCCAACCGCCCACTCATGTTTTCCTTTGGATGAAAGAACACATCTCACAGTTAAGATGTCCAGAGTGAACTCCTGAATTTTCCCAACTCTTTATACCTCATCTGAGGCACCTTTATTCCTCCAGATGCTCAGGTCACCAACACGTGGAGACTTGCTCTCCCACCCGAATCCCGTGCATCAGAAACCCTGTGGCTGCACTTCCTCCTGCACCCAACTCTCCAGCTTCCCCCATCTCTACTGTCCTGTCACTTCTCTCTGTCCGCATGAATGCTCTACCTGCTTCTCTCTGTGTCCTGTCGTCTTTTCTCAACTAAACGCTATGATATTTTAAACCTTATGTCACATTATCTCACTTCTTTCTTCAAAACCTTGCAATGGCAATCTTTTCACACTGAGATAAAGCTAGAATACCTGCACAAAGCAGGAAGTTTCTACTCTCAGAGACTTTGCACCTGCTGTTCCCTGACAGGAAGGCTCTTCCCCCAGATGACACCAAGGCTCACTCCTGACCTTCTTTAATGTTGGCTCAAACTTCCCTTCTCAGTGATGCCCACCTGGACATCCCTGTTTAACATACATACCAACTTACAGATCCCCCAACCCTCGTATTCAGCAATGCTTTCATTTCCCCCTAAAACTTATCACTTTCTGATGTTCTATAATAGCTAATGATGAATTATATCTATTGCTTACTGTCATTTCCCCACTGGGATATAAGCTCCACAAGGGCAGCTACTTTATCTCTTTGTTCACCAACACACCCCGAGCTTCCATAATGTTCCGGTACATTGGAGGTATTTAGTAAATATTTGTATTACACATGAGAATTGGCCAGTCACACTTCTCCCTGACACTCTGAAGCTTACCTTAAGTGGGAAAATTTGTGTATTCATGTCAGACACTGAGTTTCCCAACTACATGACTTAGTGAAAAACAAAAGCATCTGGTGCATGTGCAGGAAGAGGAAGAACCCGAGAGCAGAAAACCACGAACCCTCTCCCCCAACACCCACCCTTCCCCACACCCCTTGGCCCAGGTGGCAGAAATCTCATGGGATGGATGTGGGGTAGTGGGGAAGTCTATGAGCCCTAGGATCAGACTGTTTGAGTTCAAATAGTAGCTCTACCATGTACCACTGAGTGACCTTGAACCTCTTTGTATTTCTCTTTTCTCTTGCATAGTTAAGGGTGACAAGAGGACCTACCCTGGAAATGATGATCACATGAAATTACAGACACAGGAATGTTCAACAGTATCTGCTCATAGTGAGTGTTCAAGCAATTGAAAAGGTATTATCATCCTACTTCCTGGAGCTATGATGCTTCGACCAACATTAGAGAATGTAGACATGGGTAAAAATGTAACTACGGATGTAGATCACACAAGGAGGAGATTCTGTATCTTTTATCTTCTTCTTTCCTTCTCACCCCCATCAATCATGGAAAAGAGATGCCAAGATCATAGTGCATAAAATTCCACTCACTTTACCAAGAGAGATGCCTGCTTGTCTTAAAAGTTTGGAGAAGGTAATGGGTAAGTTTAGAGAAGCAGAAAAGAGAGAAGGTGTTTGAGAGACAGAGAGAACTAAACATCTGTTCCTGCACAGTTCCTGTAGACCAAAAAACAATTTGAAGCAAACAATAAGGAAAGGCCTTTCAAAAATCTCACGTGTGTGTGCAGTCCCTCACACTCTCTTATACACACACACACACACACACACACACACAGATACATGCATCTCAAATGTATATAGAGTATGGACTCACATGCTAGGACACAGATTGTTTTGAGGATTAAATGAAATTGTAATAGATTTTTATAATCTATTTTTAAGTGCTCAGTAACATACTTGACACACAGGCACCATGCCACACATCATCAACAAAAGTTCCTGAGTAAACAGCAGAACTTGAACTCAGGGTCTCGGAGTGGCCTGATGGGAGATGACTATTCTTCAGTTTAGTTCTCTGTGGTTCTGATTTCCCCCAATCAGCCTCCACTGAGAAGCCGTATCACATGGTTAAAAGAACCAGCTCTGGAGCTGCTCTTCCTGGACTTGAATCATGCTGAACCACTGCCTCACACAGGTGATGTTGGATACGTTACTGTCTCTGCCTCAGTTTCCTCATCTGCAAATTGGGGGTGACAGTCATACTTATCACACAAGGATGTTGTGACAATTAGGGGTTTTAACATTCACAAAGCTGTCACTGTTGTGGTTTGAAGCATCATCTGTTTTGATGCCTCTGGTACCCAGAATGAGGCGATAGACCCACAGAGAAAAAGCCCAGATTCCTGATTTCATGCGCTCAAGCCTTCTGTGAAATCACTGGGTGACGCACCCTGTTTTTGTTGGAGGTTCTAAAATTTCTGAGGGTCAGGAGGAGGTCCAGAAGCAGGGAAAGGGAATTGTACCCCCAGAAAATGCTCACCTGTGAGGCCAAGCAGCAGAGTCAGCAGCAGGCAAGGAGGAGGGTGGGGCCAGAAGGCAGGGACCAGCATCCTGGAGGCCTGAGGAGCCTGCTCTGTCCCAGTGTGTGCTGGGAGAGCCCGGACTCTGCTCTGTGGGAGGAGAGAGGCCCCACCTCCTGTGATATAAGGGGAAGTGCCCAGGACAGGGTGCAATGGCTGGGAGACAGTAGCCCACTTCTAGATTCCAGACAGTTTCTATTTCCAGATTGTGACATAGAATCAGGCAGAGAAGGTGGCGTCAAGGTGAACAGATGTTTATCTTATGTTCTCAGAGACTTGGAAAAGCCTACAGGAAATAGTACTTCCCCTTCTTGGGGCCTCTGCTCTCCCACAAACCCCTCGCACCAGCTGAGATCTTCATGGTGGTGCCCCACGTGGGGACCCAGGAAAAGAAGGGTTTGTGGTTGTGGGCTGTTCGCCAAACTCCCAAGTCCAGGACCCTAGGATGTAGCCAGCTGTGGCCTCATCCTCACCAGCCTCACCAAGAGCTGCCCAGCTGAAGGAAGAGGGTTCACCAGTGCCTGGGCAATGTTGGGATGGAACCTGGTCTGCTCCTGAATGAGTCCCTTGTCTAGTCCTTTATTGATACCACTGGAAAAACATAGCCAAATGCAAGTGTTCAGTGGGCCTCAGAACTTGTACCTGCTCCCATCTGACACACGGAGTGCTATCCTCACTTCTGGTGGCAGAGAAAGTAGGTTATATGTCCACAATTATACTCCCAGGCATTTATGTTAGAGAAATGAAACATTATGTCCACACATAATCTGTGCATGATGTGTATAGCAGCTTTCTTTGTAATAACAAAAGACTGGAAACAACCACAATGTCCAAGTATAAATGAATAGTTGAATAAACTGTGATGTACCCATGCAAGAAAGTATTAATACTACTCAGAAATAAACAGGAATGGATTATTTACATGAGTAACAGTTTGTAAATTTCTCAAAGGCATTATGTTGGGTGAACAAATTCAATCTCAAAGTGTCACATACTGTATGATTCTACTTATATCACATTCCGGAAACTACAGAGTAGAGAGCAGACTGGCACTGGCAGAGGTTGGCACAGTGGGGATGGGGTCACTGTGAAGGCGAGCACAGGGGACCTCTGTGGTCATGGAATTGCTCTGCATCCTGGTCATGGTGATGGTGACACAAACATACACCTGAGGGACCAACACAGGACAGCAGGGAATGTTACAAGATTCAGCTGTACACATCAACCTCACAGTCATTATAATGTAGACACTAACTATCCTGTAACCCCAAATTAAAACATAATGGTAGTAGAGGTGTGGGGAGTAAAAAGGGTGTGTGTGCGGCATGAGGTCATGAGTATTAGCCCCTGATGTCTCCATTGTTCTTAGTGGGAAGTCCATAATGATGCTTCAGAATGAAAAACTGAGAAGTGAAATACAAGCACGCTATAGGAGGTGTGGAAACAAAAGCTAAAATAATCCGTTAAAAGGCTGAAAATAGTTGCTTCTCACAGACAGAAAATGGTGAGAAGTTAGGGAGATGCCAGGTTTCACACGTAGAATTTATGGAACCAGCTGACTTTTTAATTGTATGCATACATAATTTTAATAAAGGCCATAACTACTTCTAGATAATTAGATTAATGTTGTTATAGGAGTTACACATAAAAAGAATGCCCAAACTATTAGCACTAGTAGGACTTTTTATAAGCTATTGGTTGTAAGATTGATGCTCAAAACCAATTACCATCCTAAAGGGTATTCAAAGACCATTGAAAACAGTAATTATGATTTTAAAAGATGCCATACACTAGAAAGCATTAATGATGGCTCTAATTAGAGACACATTGGAGCATTTACGGAGGTGGGAAACAGCTGGAATTGTGAAGTGAAAGTCTTAAAGAAAACCTAAAGAAATAGAAGTATATTATGACCATGAATGAAAAACTCAATACTTAAAACATATCAATTTGCTTGAATAAATATATACATTCGCCCTGGCTGGTGTAGCTCAGTGGATTGAGCGCGGGCCTGCGAACCACACGATCGCGGTTCGATTCCCAGTCAGGGCACATGCCTGGGTTGCAGGCCGGTTCCCTGCAGGCCAATTCCCAGCAGGGGACGCACAAAAGGCAACCATACATTGATGTTTCTCTCCCTCTCTCCTTCCCCCACTTCCCCTCTAAAGATAAATAAATAATAAAATATTTTTTAAAAAAAGATTTAAAAATAAATAAATAAATATATACATTCAACGTAATTTTATAACAATTCTAAAGAGATTTTTTTGTGAAACTTGACAAAGGCATTCTAACATGCATTTGGGTCAAGTATAGCCCCAAAGGAAAAGGTGGAAAATTTGCCTAAAAGAGGTATCGAAATTATTACAAAGCTATGCTAATTAAGACAAGGTAGTTCTGACCGTGAAACAAGCAGCTTAATGGAGCAGAGAGCTCCTAAAGAGAACCACGTATGTATGGAAATTTCTGAGGGTCATGATGTATGGCAGAGGTCAGTGCGGATCAGTGAGTGCTACATGATTCATACTTGTGGAAGGAAAAGAGCACATTGATGGTTGCCAGATGGGAGAGTGGTTGGAGGGATGGTTGAAAAGGTGAAGGGGCTGAGAAGTACCAACCTGTAGTTACAAACAGTCATGGGGGTATAAAGTGCGGCATAAGGAATAGAGCATAGTCAATAATATTATTATAATTATGTATGGTGCCAGGTGGGTACCAGAATTATTGAGGGAATCCCTTTGTAGATTGTATAAATGTCTAACTACTGTGATGTACACTAAAAAACTAAATAAAATACTATTTAACGCCAACTGTAATTGAAAAAGAGATCTCCAGCAAACATACATTGACACACACTCTTGAAAAATATGCTTAGGTCAGAAGTATAAATGGAAAGCGCAAAACTTGATCAAAAATGGAAAGGGTCTCTTTGTGTAATAAAAGCTCCCAGATGACTCAGCCCTGCTTCTTTGTGGCCACACTGGGAGAACAAGACAGACTCGCCCTGCGTGCCCAGAAACAAAGATATACTGTTGGTTGCAAAGCTGCACTAGCCAGACATCAGAGAAGCTTCGAGACCATCTAGAGACAAACCGCAGCATATTCTTATCCTAGAAAACTGTACAGCAGTAGAGAATTAAGAAAATGAAGCTGCACATATCAACATTATTCAAACACCCAAAACAATGGTAAGTATAAAAAATTTAGTTCCCGATGTTGTCTACAGAATAACAGCATTCACAGAAAACTTAAAACATGCAAAGTAATACTAGATATTACTTAAGGATTTGCACACATTGCGGTAAAAGTGTAAGATGCTGGAGAGTGATGAACACACAATTCGGGACCTTGCTCAAAGGGAACAGAGAATACAGCAGGGTCCGGCAGAAGTAACGCCCTCCTGAGTGTGGTTGGTAGGGCAATAATACTATGGGTGCAATAATTTATAGTTTTAATTTGAAAATTTCACCTAAAATGTCATAGGGTGTGCTTGAGTGTGTTTTGTTATGTTATAGAATTACATGCTTATGATTTTGTAATAAAAGACTTTGTAATATAAAGGGGGTGTTATTTGTGCTGGACCCTGTATAATGGCAAATGTTAATATTCTGCAAAGATAGATGTTAGGTTCATGCATACCTTTAATAGTCTTTATATATTTCAGAGTAGTATAATGTTTATTCAACTCAGTGATTTCAAATATCTAATGTGTTAAAATAAAGTCATACTTGTAGAAGCTCTGGGTAAAAGTGAAGTCTGCTCTGAATATCAAAGGTTGTTCACTCTCAGAGGAGGATGGAGACGTATTCTTATCTGCTTGGTTCTATTTTGGGTGGAGGCAGGGCTGGGCTGAATTTCTACTTGCATCAGCATCCAGACATCCCTGAGTCCCCAAGGCCAAAGTGCATCCTTAACTCAGATTTATTATCAGAGGGGAGGAACATCAGGAGGGTGTGTGGAGGGAGCTAGTCCTTTGTGGCGGGTGGCGCTGGCAGAGTGAGGGGAGGGGCCTGGGTAACGTGCAGGTCCTTGCAGATTCCTATCTTCAATGGAGCCCCTTGGAGAAGGCAGGAGGCAATGCATCGCAGTGCAGGGAAGAGCTGTAGAAAAATCATTCATTCATTCATTTCACAAATATTTATTGAGCGTTCATTAAGCGACAGGCATTCTGTTTGGCCAAAGTTCATGGTGCAGATCAGAAGGGAAGCCCCTCGAAACCGCACCCCAACACTTCTTTCTGAAATCTGCATTCCCTCCCATACCCACATGCACCTTCACCACCAGTTAGCCCTTCAAGTCCCTCACAGGAATTACAGTAGTTGAGTTCACCAATACTTTCTTATTCAGTACCAAGGTAATATATAAAAGTTAAAGTATGTAATAATTTATGGAGGACTCTTTGGAATTTAGGTCCCAAAGCTTTGACCTTCATCCCACCTACATATCTTAACCGCCCCCCTCCTGGGTCCCAAGGAACTTAATTTGAAAACCTTCAAACTCTAGTGCATTATTACAAAGTGCTTGGGAGTTAAACGCCCTTAGAATTCCAGGAGACATTTGGAGGAAATGAGTGTTCACCCTCTGGTGGGCTGGACCACCCTTGTGGGCACCATGTGACTTTGTGGGCAGGCCCTGGACTCCTCTTGCCAAACCATGACCATGGCTCTCACCTCCTTCCTTAAGGACTATGGCCTGCCCCCAATTTACCTGTTACACGTTCCACCACCTGTGGATGTAGGTGACTGTGAAACTCATCACCAGCAGCACCTTGAGGCCCAGGAGGAAAGCCAAAAAGATGAAGACAGGTGTCTCTGGTCCTAAAAATACCAGAAGAAAAGATCGACTGGGCTCCACAAGTTCAAATACCTTCTTTGATGTCATGTTGCTCGGAAGCTTGAGAACCACTAATCGCATCCAATTCTCTCTGATTCCAAACTCATGTTCTTTTCTCTACACTCAGCTTCCTCTTGGAAATAAACAATAATCTTTACCATTTAGACTCACCTTGAAATTTGACTCAACAAATATTGATTTGCTGAGCTGGTGAACGTCTGCCACATACCAGCTAATGTGCCA